TGACCAAAGAGGTTCATACACTGCTCAATGGGAGCACACTCTATTACTTCGTCCTACATGTAAAGAAGTTGTTTCTCGAGGTGAGGACTATTAGAAGATGGAGGTGACTCGACACATACGAATATTGCTGTTTTACACTTCACGTTTTATGAGTTCTCTATCACGTGATTGTTGTATTCTAATCGGAATAAATGTTATTTTTAAAAAAAAAATTGTTCTGTCAAGTAGAGATTTATAATGTCAGCGATGGTATAAGCGTTGAAGTTTATTGTACATAATGTTGGAAATCAGCTAGAGACTATTGAAAACTATCTTCAATTTAATAACTTCCATCTTCTGATAATTAATCTAAATATCATGAAATTCATAAAGGAACTTAAACTATGAATTCTTCGTATTTGCCAAAAGTTGGATAAGATACGAAACAACACCGTAAGCTCTTCTGACCCAATGTTAAAAACCACAGACCTTTAACTTCTTCAGCGCTTACTAAACCCGAGAGCCCAAAATCATTCAAATTTTGCGTTTCATTGTTTTCGTTTTGCTCGAAGATCGATACACTAAGGAACTTGAAAAAAACTTTATTTTTGAAATGATTGTTCCTTCAGATTGAAGAATGCTCTATTGGTGAATTCTAAAATTATTCTGGTTTCGTAATTGAATTACATTTGTATGTTGGAAATCTTGGTTCAAAACGGTGGACAATGGAGAAGATCAGTGATACCATAATAATAGACGAGAAGATTAGAACTAGTGATGTGACTACAAAATGTTCCTTCGATGCTCTAATGATTTCCCAATCAACTGTAGCTAAAATGGCTACAGGAGGCTTTCGATTGCCCTCTCCTATTCAGGAGAAAGCCATTCCAGCTGGTCTTTCAGGCTTAGGTTTTGCTTGAGTTGCCTGTTTGGAAACAATAACTTTCGTAATTGCAGATTTGTTAGTGCAAGCGAAGTCTGGTACTGGAAAAACTCTTGTTTTCTCTGTAATGGCTGTAGAAAATTTAAATTTACAATGTTATACTCCTCAACGACTGATTCTTGCTCCTACTAGAGAAATAGCATGTCAAATAAGAGACACAATTCTGAAAATTATTCCCAAATATGGTCGAGTTGTGTAAGCTAGGTGATTCTAACTGTTAAGAACGTGTTAATTCCAGAGTTCTCGTAGGAGGAAATAGTGTAGCTGATGATATACAATCGTTGAAGAAATGCCATGTAGTTGTAGGCACAACAGGCAGAGTTTGCCACTTAGTTCAACAGGGCTTTTTGAAACTGAACTCTGTTGATCTTTTCGTATTAGATGAAGCGGATAAACTTATGGAAGATTGTTTTGAAAAAGACATAAAGTTAGTTATTCGAATTTTATTGAGAAATTTCCTCTTCAGTTATTTATTCTCTTGTCTTCCTGAAAGCAGACAGGTAGCTGTTTTCTCAGCAACATATCCTGGCAGTTTGGATAAAATGCTATGTCAGTTTATGAAAGATGTGACTCTCATTCGTTTGAACTCAGGTTTCATTCCTTATATCTCCTTCACTATATTTTCTTATACAGACGACGTCCAACTTGTCGGTATTAAGCAGTACGTGTATAATACTGAAGACGATGAGAAAAAAACTCTCCTTCACCTGTGTCAGAACATTTCATTTAATCAGCTGCTAGTCTTTTGCAATCGCATAGCAGAGTTCGTGAATGTGAATATATGATTCATGCTCTTAATATGTTTTTTAGTTGTCAAACCATAACCGATTTGCTTGTTGAAAATGGTTATGAAGCTGGTTGTATTTCTTCACAGATGACGCAAGCCGAAAGGGAAATTTCAATTCAAAACTTGAAAAGTCGGAAGATCAAAATTCTTGTGTCCAGTGATCTGGTGAGCTCAGATCAGAAACATGCTTCAATCGTTACTGGCTATAATTTAAGACTGCCAGAGGAGTTGATGCAGAGCATGTGAATTTAGTCATAAACCTGGAACCAGCTATAAATGTGGAAACTTATTTGCATAGGATTGGCAGAGCTGCTCGTTTCGGTTTGTCATTTCAAACACAATTGAATCAATCCGTATTTATCAGGAGGAATAGGCGCTGCTATCTCTATTCTGAAAGATAAACTGGCGGTTAAGCAATTCAACAAACTGTATAAAGAAGGAAATCTTAATGTTCGACAGTTACCTCAAGATTTTCCATCAGATCTCATTAGCGTTTCAAAGTTCTTCGACAGTTGTCAAGTTTATAAGGTATTTAGCATCATGTTGCGATAGACTTTTGAGAATTTAGAAACCAACCACTTTCCCGAAGGTGATCAGAGAAACGAGTAGCCAACCTCTGGATGGTACCAGGTTCATAAGTCATTTTGATCGAGAAACAAATTGTGTTCAGTTATACAAAGGAAGAGATCATGCGTTTGCGCTACGTCAACCATCCATTAGATTCCTGCACCAAAGAGCTTATTCTACAAGCCCGGGTACTTATTAATTATATCTTTGTTGTTATTTCCTTGTTCAGATAGGAACAGGCGCTCTCTCCGATTTCAAAGGTGATTTGAAAACACTGGGGAGCGCTCTAAGTGGTGGAGATAACATTCCAAATGAAGAGATTGCCGTTGAAGCCCCTAAAAAAAAATACACGTTGAGTTTACATTCATCTGCTAATCTGAACAATATTCTCCAGGTTTGTACCGGTGAGAGCGAAAGCCAAAAAGAAGTTTTATCTAAGAGGAGAGCTTCTATCCATCCGAGAATCTCACTCACCAGAAGTGTGGAGCGCGTACGCTTCGAAAAAGTGTCTTGGAGCTTCACAACTTATCTTTATACCTCTCATTATAGATTTGATATGTCGGAAAGTCCTTTTGTGAAAGAGAAGGCCAGCACTCCCGAAAAATCGGATATCTGTTCCAAACCCGTCATTCCTGCTGAAAAAGTACTAAAGAAAAAGCAGACAAATTCACAAAAGTCGAACATACTGAAGTACAGTAGGAAGGAAATGATCAATATTCAGTCAAAAATTTCCAAACAGGTGTACTTGAAGTGTAAAACCTTCATGACATCCTCGTTTTTCAGGCGTGGGTAAAGTATGTCAAAGAAAAATGGGATACAACTCAAGAGCCTTTTCAATTGGATCCATATTTGCGATGTCCGTTTGAGCTGCAGCTTAGACGAATCAGGATGAGAGAGAAAAATCTGAGGGAAAAGGTACTCCAATATCAAATACCATTTGAAATACCAGGAAAGTTTTTCAGGTGATGAATGAAAGAAAAAAAGAAGTGAATAAGGAGTCAAATGCAGTTGTTGCCGTTTCGAGAACATGCAATAGAATTTTCGTTACAGCTACAAGCTTTGATACTATGTGCTCAGAGTTTTTAGAAGATTTTCATAAGTTCAGTCCAGATATCAGAAAAGGGCCTGTTGTAAGTTCCACCCTTCATGTGTGCCAAAATACTGTGATAATAGGTTGCTCCTCGTCTCAATCGTGCTGATTATAATCAAAAAGTGTTGAATGATTCGAAATGGTTGAACACCTTTTTGGAAACTTTCAGTTATGAAGTTAGGAAGTCGTCTGAAATGTGCGCGGAAGTGCAGTGCGGTCCTGATGAGGAATTATCAGAAAGGTGTTAAATTGGGTGTTTCTAACAATAATGATAAGGTTTCATAGTTCTCCATCAATTGTTGAACAGCAAAGAGTACAAGTAGAAGAAGTAGAAGATGTAGTTGTCGAAAACAAATTGCACGCGGATGATTCGGTAGTCGAGCACGATTTCGTCGAATGTGAAAGGGAAAGGTTAGGCTTTTCATGCTCTAGAACCTGAAAAAAAGACTTTTTTTCAGTGAATTCTTCGAAGAAAATCAAAGCGAAGAGGAAGCGTATAGAATAAATGATTCTGTAGAAATGCTGCATGAGAGATCACATGATGCTTCATTCCAGTCATGTGAACACCAGAACGCGAAAGTTCCTTACAATCATGAATTAGAACAAGTAAAGCCTGCTCAAGTTGATTATCATATCAATGATCTGGGAGATATCCTCAGTTCATATTTATATTTATCGACGCGGCTCTATTCATGAGTTTAATTAAGTTTCGATTAAAATTTTTTTTTTCTTCTTCTCAAATGTGTTTTTTGCGCTCTCGTGATATTTTTTGATTATTTGTTCAGTTTTTTTATCCATTCTATTGTTTTCAGTTAGAAAATGGGTAACGAAAAGACTTCCAAGAAGGGTGGCAAGGGCGCAGCTCCAAAGAAAGGTTTGTTGAACTTGATAACGGTTCACAAGAGATTTTCAGCTGAGGAAGATCTCGATGCCATATTGGCCGAGTTAGATGTTGCTGATAAAGCCCGCTCAGCAAAGGCTAGTGAGAAATCCAAGTC